GTTGATCCTTGATAACAATTTAACTGGATCACAGGTGAGAGTGATGCCTACTGTGGTTGAAAAGCCAGTGGAAAATCAGTGCAGAATTGCAGGGAGCATTAGAACAGTGGCATCAAACTTTAAAGACCCTGTTGAGGTCAAGACTATCCAGACATTTGGGATAAAGGAATTCCATTTGTACTTTTTGCAAATAGGTGTGTACCAAATGAATTTACCAAATTCAGTCCATTTGATAAGGTGAGAGGACCACTGAAATTAATTAAGGAGAAATTGGTGAGTCAGAGTTCAGACACCACACATTTAGACTATGTATTGAATTTTAGGGAAAGACTAAATAGAGTAGATGAGTTGGCTCGACAGCATTTAAAAGCAGCACAACATGCGATGAAACAGGAAGCAGACAAGAAATCAAAAATTCACAATTTTGTTGGTGGAGATAAAGTGGTAGTGTTACTTCCAGTTGTAGGAGAACGTTTAAAAGCAAGATTTGGTGGGCCTTATCAAACTGAAAGGAAATTGAGTGAGGTGAATTATTGATAAGAATGCCAGATAGATAGAAAGAGTGTGTCAAGTAAATATGCTGAAAAAGTATTTTGATAGGGAAGGAAAGCAAAAGGAGAATGTGTTACTGGTTACAGCACAGAGTGAAGAATCAAATTCAGATGATTCTAAGTTGGACATTCCTCAAATTAGATTAGACAATGAGGAAGTTCTCAAAAATTGGGATAAATTACTGACTTACTTTCCAGAGGAAAATTGAAATGACCTGAAGGAATTATTATAATCACATTGGTAGTTTTGTGGGAATAAGCTGTGAAACACTAATATAATTACGTATGATGTAGATATAGGAAATGTTGTTCCAATTAAGCAACATTCTTATGGACTTAACCTTCTAAAGTTGGCACAGGTTCAAAAAGAAATTGAATGCATGCTCAAAGACAACACAATCGTAGTGAGTTGTGCTGACTGGAACTTACCCATAGTGATGATGCCAAACCAGATGGTACCCAATGATTATGTGTGGACACAAAATCAGAAATTGCTGGAAAAAGCTCAGTAAGTTTAGCAGCATCTTCCTCAGAGAAAGGGTCACTCAACCGGAAACATTAACTCTGATTTCTCTCCACAGATGTTGCCAGACCTGCTGAGCTTTTCCAGCAATTTCTGTTTTTGTTTCTGATTTATAGCATCTGCAGTTCTTTCAGTTTTGATTATGTGTGAACTCCTGCAAAGTCAATGCAGTTACAAAGTCTGATTCATATCCTATTCCATTTTTGGAAGACTGTATTGAGAAGGTAGGACAGACAACTTATATTTCTAAGTTAGACTTACTCAGACGATACCGGCAGGTACCTTTATCCAAAACAATAGAGACAATTTCAGCTTTCATGACACCAAATGGACTGTACCAGTTTAACGTCATGCCATTTGCTATGAAAAATGCAGCAGCCACAATTCAAAGACTAACCAATAAAGTCATTTCTAGGTTACCCAATTGTGTGGTGTACGTCGATGACCCGGTGATTTTTAGTCACATATGGAAGGAACATTTGCAGCATCTATTGGAATTTTCAATCAACTTCGGGAGGCGGGCTTGGTGATAAACCTCACTGAGTGTGAGTTCACAAAAGCCCAAGTAACATTCCTGGGCCATATTATTGGATATGGACAAATGGCCTCACTGGATGTGAAATCAAAGATTATTGGGGAGTTTCCCATACCACCGACGAAGTGAGCACTTAGATTGAGTGACTTTTATTGGACATTTGTACCAGATTTTAGCAAGAACTTCCTCCACTGACTGACTTATTGAGGAAGTGCAGAAAATTTCAGCGGATGGCAGACTGTCAGAAGGCATTTGACAGCCTGAAAGCTGTGTTAACCACTGCCTCAGTGTTAGGCACACTTAATTACGCAAAGCCATTCAGGGTGGCTATCGATGTGCGTCATGTGGATGTTGGTGGTGTACTCTTGCAAGATGATGAGAAGATAGAAAGACCTATTGGGTATTTTTACAGAAAATTGAACAACCATCAACAGAACTATTCCACGATCAAGAAGGAGACTTTGAACTTGGTGTTGGCGTTACGACATTTTAACATTTATATTGCTGGCAATATGCCTGGGGGATGGAAGCCAGGCAGTCTATGAGAAGATAAACAACTTGTGAAGCCTTGGGTGTTTTTTTTTTTGAAAAGTTGAAACAATAAAAGTAGCCTGAATGGGTGTGGTCAAGCTCCCACCCACAGAACCAGGATTTTTAGGTTTAGTGTGTGACAAATTGTCTACTACTGTTGGGATTAGTTAGGGCCCTCACCTCTTTTTATGTTACTTGCAGTGAATCAAACTAGCATCTGTAATGCTGGGGACCTCAGGAAGAGATTGAGATGGATTGTCAACTTGACATTTCTGATTGAAGATGATTGCAAATCCTTCAGCCTTATTTTTTGCACTGATATGTTAGACTCCCCTATCATTGGTGATATCTGTGGAGTCTCTTCCTCCTGTTAGTTGTTTAATTATCCATCATCATTTTCAACTAGATATGAAAGGATTTCAGAGCTTTGATATGATTTGTCCTTTTTGGAATGTATGGCAGATTGTTTACTCTATTTGGTATGCATTTAGACCTGAGGCGTAGCTTCAACAATGTTTTAGTTTACCTGGTGTTAGTCCTAACTCCTCATTGTGTCAGGTTCAGTCCCTTGGTTTAAAGATGTTGATAGAGTGTGAGATATGCCAAGTAATAAGATTAAAGATTATGTCAGAATATAGTATATGCTGAAGGCCCATCATGTCTCTTAGATGCACAGCTTTGAGCTGCTGGATCTGTTCTGAATCTATTCCATTTAGCAAAGTGGTTGTGCCACACATGACTGAGTGTGTCCTTGGTGTGAAGACAGGACTTTGCCTCCACAAGAACTGTATGGAGCTCACTCCTACCAATACTATCATAAACATGTGCATCTGAGACAGGTAGATTGGCAAAAACAAAGAGAATTTTACCTAGTATTGTTCCTCTCACTACCTGCCATGGGCTTAGTGTGGCAAACATCTCCTTCAAGACTTGGCCAGCTCAGTCAATAATTTGAGAGAGGGACCTCATACACTTCGGCAAGAGTCATGCTACATCACAAATATATTGTGCTTCCTTACTATCCTCAGTGCTCCTTTGGAACTATGTTCACTGTGTGGATTCATGAGTTGTGATGTGGAGATGCCAGTGTTGGACTGGGGAGGACAAGGTTAAAAATCACACAACACCAGGTTATAGTCCAACAGGTTTATTTGAAAATGCAAGCTTTCGGAGCTCACCTCCTTCACTATGCCTAAGGAAGGAGCTGAGATCTGAAAGCTTTTATTTTCAAATAAATCTGTTGGACTATAACCTGGTGTCATGTGATTTTTGACCTCGGTTCATGAGTTGAGAGATGGCAGTATATGGTAACCAGCAAGACATTTTCTTGTTCAGGTATGACCTGATGTATTGGGAATTCATGGGGTCTGGAATTAATGTTAAAGCTCTTTTCTTCTGCATACATATAGCTGTGCCTCCATATTTGGTGGGTATGTCTTGCTTGTGAAACAGGTCATATCCAGGGATAGCGATGGAGGATTATGGGACTGTAGGTATGATTTAGAAAACGTGACTTTGTTGGCTTGTTTCTTGACTATGCTCCTGCAATTTTGGCACAATGATAGTGAGGTGGACTTTGCAGAGTCAACTGTGTTGGATGTGTCATAGTTCTTTCCAGGAATCTAAGTTGATACCAGGTGCCCTATATAATTTCACTTTTCTTCAGCAGTTTTGTAGTGGTTAATCTAAAATATTTATTTACTCAGAGCCGGCCAGATTACTGTGCAACTGGAACCACAAATAGGCAAGACCAGCAGATTTTCTTCCCTCAAAGATCCAAATAGATTTTTACAGCAATTTGGTAATTTAGGGTCACCATTATGGACACTAGTTTTTTTGTTTTAATCCAAGTATTTTTAATATAATTTAAATTCCATTGCTGTTGTCAGAGTTGAACTCATCTCCAGAACATTAGTCTAGTCCTTTGGATTATGAGTCTAGTAATAATATCACCATGTTGCTTTGTCCCTATTAAGGTGTCCGTCCTAATCTTTTGCCCAAGGAGATTGCACAAGCACTGTGAATTGACTGCCTGTTATTGATCTCCCTGTCTGACAATTCAATATTACAATGCAACGTAGAGAAATTATTGCAAATACAATTACCTGCATGCAAATATAAATCCAACAAGGGGAAACTTTAATTAAAAAGCATTTCCTTGTTTGTAGCACTTCTGAGTTTTCTGACAACTTGATACAATACTAAAGCAAAGCTGCCCCTTTTCATGTTGCTTATTAGAAGACAATTATTCAATATGTACCTGAATTTAAAATATCATTTTCACCTAAGGCACTAAAAGTCTTGAGTATTAACCAGGATAAGCCATGCAAATCCTTTCTCCACCTTTTAATTAGATGATGGTTCAATTCCATTTATTAATCCTAACTCCATATTTCACAATACCCTTGTCCAACCAAAACTGATTGATCTTAGTGTTGAAAACTTTAATTATTTCAGCAGCAACAGACCGAGGGCAGAATTCCATATTTTTACTACTCAATGTGAAATGTTGTTTTCTGACTTCCCATCCGAATAGTTTAGCTCTATTTTTAAGATTATGTTCCCGCACACTTGATACCCTTATCAGAGGAAATATTTTCCCTGTAATTATCCTATTGAATTCATTTTGCATCTCAAACACCAAAACACTAAAACAATATAATTGAAAGCCATTACACTATATCACAAAATGTGGTTTGAAGAATGGAGAAATATATCTAAAACTATTTTTTCCTCATCTCACTTTACTGATTCCTTCCCAGATTTGGACTATCGTTAAGTTTCTTATGATAAATAAGTTACATATTTTCCTAAATTATACCAATCCTAGGTTTTTATTCCATCCTTTTCTGTATTTTGTTCTTAAGGCAGTCAAACTCGAACCAGCCCACTTCTTTCCCACCCCTTCATCCATTCCTGCTGACTATTGGCAGTAAGACTCCTCCCGGCTTCCTCCAGTCCATTCAGTCAATCAGCTGCAAGAAACCCAGCTCTGCTGCACATTGGAAATTAATGCTCTTTCCACATCAAGGGTTCGCCGTATATGGCAACGCAGAATTATTTGTGCAACTGGTATTTATCCTACCCGCTAATCTATAAGTGAAGGAACTGAACCACTCTCTGGAGTATTTGCCTCAGCCTTGATCTTGCCGATTTTAGTGGGGGGAAGTTGGCATTCGTTTTCTGCAGTTCGTGGCAGCTGCCAGTTCGCTCCAGCAATCCTACCATCGACTCGACCAGACTTATTCAGTGAGGGCTGAGTGCGGAAAGCTCCCTTCTTGCGGATAGCGAAGATGCTGTGGGGAGCAGTCTTCATCGTGGGCTTGGCTTTGTGCAGAGGACTACCGCTTAACAGCGGACTGCACAACATCACCGGCAAAAATGTCAAACCGATGCCAACCGTTTGGGAAGAACCGAAGCGTGAAGCTGAAGCCAGGACAACCGAATCACAGAAAGAGGACAGCATCCTCCCAGAGGTAAAGTCACCCAAGCGCTTTGCTGGTTAGAGAGGGGAAACGAACTAAAAACTACAAAATATTTTTGGAACAGCGATTGCACCTTCGCGAAAACGCCAGTGCAAGAAACTAAACGGGATCTAATAGTTTTCCTTAGAACTTAATGATGTGTCCGTCAGATCGTAGTTCATTTCAGTCTAACAAACCTGTTTGTGCGCAAAACCTTTTCAAACTAGCTTTCATTTAGCACCATTGCTTCATCGGTGTTATTTAATTCTAAATGAGAAAATTCTTATTGATACTGGTTTGCATTTAGGAGAAAGCCCTGCCCCTCTTTTCCCTTGGATTCCTGACACATTGTGTTGTGAGTCAAAGCTGCAAATGTTCATTTGCAAATTCTCTGGCTATTGCGGACGAACAGATTTAGAAAAGCTTCAGATTGTTGGATACATAATTCTTTAAAATGAAACAATGTTACAGTCAGAAGTAATAGAAATGTAACATTCCTAAAAGCACGTTTTTAATCGTGCATTCACTGTTTAGATTGACCGTACATATATACATCATGTAGTGACTGAAGATTGCTGCTTTGCAGTTCAGGTTTGGTATTTCACTTTGCGCACACACACTGTTGTGACTTGCTCTTCGCTTGCCTCCAGTTGCTACGGGACTATGACAAAGTGAAAGCCGTGTCTGAGGGCTCGGATTGTCGCTGTAAGTGTGTGCTCACACCCTTGGGCCGGGACGCCTGCCACCGGATTCGGGAAGGCACCGCCAAGCCAGACGACTCGTACACGGTGGAAACTATCAGCTCGGGACCGCACTGTAAATGTACCTGCCTCGCCCCACCCTCGGCTCTCGACTCCTGCGCTGGCCAAATCAGATTGCAGAAGTTCCAGGAAGCGGAAAGCAACAGTTTCAAGGTTGGTTGCAAATAAAGCTGGATGTTGCCTTGATAAGTATCAGGCTGTAGAGCTGGGCTCTGAGGGCATGTTTTCATAGAAGCGTGTTTGGCCAACTGCGATAAACGAAGGGGTGTGGGGCACCATCATAGACAAGTGAAGCAAAAGTATATTTGAAAATGCGCGCAAATAATTGGATTTGCTCGTTGTTGTTGAGCATATTTATGGAGATGTGATCACTTCGCATGACCCTCCATTTGTCACCCAACACACCATACACAGCAACTTCCTCACACCAATAGTGAAACAGAGCCTTTTGATGGCTCATTAGCTCAAGTGACATTAACTCAATTTTATATGGAAGCATCCTAGGCTTTGACAGTATTGGTACTGGCATAGAGTACAGTGATAATGATGAACTTGCTCCAGCAGTGATTTGTTGTATTCTACAGTTATAGCGAAGCCCAGTAGAATAATGTTGCAAATGACTCCCAAATATTAGAACCACATCATCATTCTAAACAGGCTTCATCAGAGGGAGACTTAGCTCAAATTACAGACACAAGTTGAAGAATGGGTAATTATAGGACAAGTCCAGTTCCCTTATTCTGCCAGTGCCCTAAAACCACAAAAAAAGGGTCTATTTCTGGGTTTGTTTGTGTTAATGGTAGAATTTGTTTTCTATTGAATTCTGTATTTTAAAAACGTTCAACATGTCTAAAAATAGTGTCATATTGGTTCGGCTGGAAAATCAAAAATTGAGTCTGCACCAGCCCTCCAAAGGGCATCCCACCCAGACCCACCCCCCTCCCCATTTATCATGATTAATCCATCTAACCTGCACATGTCTGGATACTATGGGACCAATCCATAGCATGGCTAATCTGCCTGAGCTATACATCTTTAGACTGTGGGAGGAAACTGGAGCACCCAGCAGGCACCCACACAGACACTGGTAGAATGTGCAAACTCCACACAGTCAGGCACCTGAGGCTTGAATTGAACCCAGGTCCCTGGTGCTGTGATGTAGCAGTGCTAACCACTGTGCCACTACGTCACAGTAGGATTGATCCTCATTATGTCTTCCAATCAATATCATACAGGTTCCTCCTTGAACATGCACATTAAGTACACATTGCAATACATCTCACGGGTTAGTCCAGTTTTGAAGCCAGGCAGTAGAATGTAGTGAGTCTGTCAACAATATCACCAGCTCTGAGAAACAACAGTACTTTCAGACAAAAAGCACCAAGATAGCACAATGATGCCACCGTTGATTAAAAAAATGAAAAAAAATGTTGGCAATGGTGGACAATCCTGCCAATGGCCTAATTTGACAGATTGTTTTAATAAGGCTCTTATATTATCACTGGATCAGGAATATATGGCAAATAAAGCACAAGATTTGGGTATATAATCTACATTTCCAGCTTCTTAGTGGGGCACCCGGTCAAATTACTCAAGGAAACAATGCTGCATGAAGTCATAATATCCCGATAGAATGGATATAAGACCAGTTTCTCTGGAATCCTCAGTCTGCTTACTAAATAAAAGATTGTGCAGCTTTAAACAAGGTTGTATCCCCACAGTAACATGTCCTGAAAAATGCAATAAAGAGTCTTTGGCACAATTATAGGTGATCTTTGAAGTTTGCATCAGTTACAAAGTGCTCTGAAATCTTTGTTCTAAGTTTAATTGTACAAGAAAACAAGTTGAACAAATTAATACTGCAACATGAGCATTGTGCTGGGTATAATGTAAAATTGCCTTGAATTTCAATGTGATGATTCTGGTGAAGCTTGTAAGGTGAGTTGTTCAAGGATTGGTGTCTGTCCCACAACTGTTACCAGAGCAGTTCATTATATTTACTCTGAAAAGATTTTTTTTTTATCAATTTCTGGAAGGGATATAAGATGAAGTAACAGGTTGAATGGAAAATGCTGGCTCCCGATGGGGCAATCTGTATTTGAACTATATTTCCTGAATTGCTCAAACAGCAAACTGATTTTGTTTTATAGTGTTAAGAATTTAGCATAGCACACTTGCTGGGACAGGTTTGAGTTCAACAAGTTTAATGGCTTGGTTTTGCAAATGTGCTCAATGTAAAAACAAAGCCCAAAGAATAAGAAAGTTCTTGGTTTGTGCTGAGTGTGCTGATCTCCACAAGGACAATGGTAATGAGTGCTGCAGTTGTCAGAGGACACCAGATTCCCCTTGAGATGTATTTTTGGAGTGCATTGTGGTTTTCCCTACAGTCATCTTGGTCATTAACATGCAGTGACTGACTTCACACAAGACATACTGACTTGAGTGAGTGACAAGGAGGATGTTTTTGTCTGTGAAAGCGCATTTAATTAACAACTCAGTGACTTCAGAAGTTGATTACCTGAAGGAAGAAGACATTAAACACATTTGGAAGATAAAAGCCAAACATAGTTTGTCGGCATCTCATCAAGGTGTACCAATTCCTGAAGCATCACTGAGAGGTTTACGAAACTCATGGTCTATTTGCACTTCTTGTATCAACTCCAAAAAGAAATCTTGAGTCTGGAAACAAGAACAAAGTTCAACCAGATGCTTTATTGGAACTGTTCAAAGGCTGCTTCATTCCTTGGCATTGTTATATTCCACTTGTACTGTGACAGCATCATCAGTGCTTTTTTTTATAACTGGAAACCATTCAAGTTGGAACCTACAGACTTCTTTTCAAATGGGAATGTCCTTGCTGAGTTTGTGTCTGTGGTTGTCAGATGAAGGATGTCAATGATGGAAAAACTGGGTGCTTTTTTTACTTTGGTAACCCACACAAACAGAAGTTGGCATTTATCTCTCAAGCCTACTATGCCACACAATACGATTGTGGCCAATCTGATTGTAATCTCCTCTGATTTGTAAACAGTGGCCCATGGTTCTATATTCTCCCAAAAGAAGAAACATCCCCATCACAGCTACATGCCAAGACCTCTTAAGATCTTATATGTTTCAATCAAGGTGCCTCTTACTCTTCTAAACTCGTGCAGATACAAGCCTAGCATGTCCATAATTTTCTCATAAGACAACCTTCTCATTCCAGTACTAGCCCACATTTCTATTACCATGCAAGGAAAAATAATTCCTTCCTTTTTAATTAATTGATCCTTTCTATGAATACTGAGCAGGACTCCAATTGGAGTTTCACCAATGCCCTCTATAACTGAAGCATAACTTCCCTACTTTTGTATCTAATTTCCCTCTCAATAAATGATATCATTTATTATCAGGATAACATTCTGAGGAAAGGTCACCAGACCCGAAATGTTAACTCTGATTTTTTTCTTCACAGATGCTGCCAGACCTGCTGAGCTTTTCTAGCAACTTTTGTTTTTATTCCTGATTTACAGCATCTGCAATTCTTTCGGTTTTTAAATGATAACATTTATTAGCTTTCTATTAGCTTTCTTGAGTATTTGCTGTACCTGCATACTTCTGTGATTCATGCAAGGGGACACTCAGATCCCTCTGTATCTCAGATCTCTGCAATTTGTCACCATTAGATAATGTGCCTTTTTAAAAAAGTCTTCCTGCCAAAATAGATAATTTCACACATTATACTCGATTTGCCAGATCTTTGCCCACGCATGACCTATCTATATGTTTTTGTCACTTCCTTGTGTCGTCTTCACAATTTTCTTTCCTATTTAACTCTTAAGAAACAGGAGCTTTGTTCAAGATTATGTGGTGTTGTACGATCCAAGAGAAACTGATTTGCAGCAATTTTCAGAAGGTGTTCAATCTGCGCGTCTCATTGCAAGGCTTCATGAAGGAGTAAAAACAATTAGACATTGAACTTTATTCAAGTTGGTACCTTAGTCCAAGCTAAATGAGAAGCTTACAGACATCATCTTTCTCAAAAAAGGAAAAAGCCGGGAAAATCAACTGGTGCTGACTGGCAATGGGTTGGAGTGAGTTAGGATACTGTCATACATTCTGAGACCCAACCTTAAGTCAGCTTAGACTGACTGATTCAATATCACATTTCATTCTATTTTGCCTAACGAGCTTCCTAAATCTGACATGAAAGTTTGTTTGGGGAAGTTTTGACCTGGAGCCTGCTCATAGCAAAAAATAACTGCTTTTGTTTAAAGCAGCTTGCAGATTTCTATCCTGCACCACCCCACTTCTCAAAGTGGAAACTTCCTCCTTGAAAACAATTTTTTGTTTAATTATAGCAATACAAATGTAGGAATGTGGCTGTGGTAGTGTTCTTGCCTCTGAGCCAGGTGATGCAGCTTCAAGCCACACTACAGTACTTAATGGTCAAGGAAGGAGCATTCGCAACATTTCTAAACTGGTTGAGTATCAACTTGCAAATGCTTTCAATGTATGGCAAAGGCTGGTGGTAAAAGCGGGAGAGATTGCTGATCAGCTATGCGGTAAAGAAAAGTTGGAGTCTCTACCTCTCTGCAGCTCCAGGTACAATATGCTTGTACAATGTATATTGCCAAGCAACATGGATTCATTGGGCCAGTTGGTTGGACAGGCTGCTGTGGATTATACTGGTGCCAAGAGCACAGGGTATATCCCTGGTCTGGCTGGGGTAGTTTCAGGATCTATCTCCTTGCCCTACCTGTGATGGAGAATGTGGCACAGTGGGTGGCACACTGCCTTTGGATAGAGATCTCAAGACCAAGAAGAATACAAATACGTCCTTATAGGATGCCGTGTACATCATCACTGTCTGCAGTGTCAGGACATTTTACTCTGTGTGTCAAGCATGCAGTTTATCATGAGCCAATTAAGCCAGATTTAACTGCTAACAGCCTGTGTACGATGCTTAATGAAGAAATGATTGGCAAGAAAGGTTAGACTATAATGCTGAAAATATAAGTTCTGTGGACTGTATAGTTTGAACAGCCACTTGAAATGAAATCGTGATTCACTATCTGTTAAAGCCAAGAGCAACATTTTCATTAGAACACAAAGAGGAAACTGTAGCTATCATTTATCTGCCAATAACAGCTGAAAGATTCAACCATAAAACACGTCGGTTCCAGATGGAGTACAGGACAGGAAGAGAATGCATTTATAAAGCAACTTAACATATTATTCGGACACAGCCCAAAGTGCTCCACATACAATGAACTATTTTGGACACATTTCATTGATATGTTAGTAAAAACATTTGCCATTTTGTTCATAGCAAAGTCCCATAAACAGTAATGAGATGAGTGACCAGTAGTTCTGTTGTTGGTGATGGTGCATCAATTTTGGCCTGGGTACCAGGAGAATTCTCCCGCTCGCTAAAAATAGGCAATGGAATCTTTACTTCTGCCTGAACAGGAAGATGGGTTTGTTTAAAATGAACAATTAGAAAGCAAAATACATAGATCCAAACTCTTTAAAAATGAGGATGAAGAAAAGTGATGTGTTGAATTTGTCAACATTGACAATCTTACTCATCCAATACTGTGGCAAGCAAAAGTTCCTTTTTGTGTACAGCACTTCAGAATGTTTGGGAATTAGCTACAATATAGTGTTTTTAATCTGTATTCTCATAATGTAAGATATTATAGAATGTGAAACAGTAATTGGCACTGAAGCTCTGTAGATAATATATTATGCATTCTATAATGGAGTCCACTTATTCCCTTTAATCCTAGAAAAAGTTTACCCATTCCTCTTCCATCCAAATTAATTAAGCACAGCTCCACTACATGGAGGCTTTATGATTCCTTATTGACCAATTCCTATCGCAATTATTTCTGCCATTTCAGCTGCTTAGAAAATAATATTTCCCAAGTACATTCAGTTAGCTCTGTCTGTACTTCCTTATAAGCTTCAATCCTATTGCTAACCTTATTTTCATACAGTTCCTTTTTGAAGAGGTGTTAATTGACAAGTGTTAATAACCTCCACAAGGAGAAGTGCTCACGTTGTTATGTGAGGAAAAATAATTCCTTCTATTTTGAGTTAACTGACTGTCTTTAATACTGGGCTGTATTTTCTTGGTCAGTGCTCACGATATGTTGAGCAATGTGTCTGCAGCTAAATTATCCATTCCTCATCATATTTTAAAACTTCAATCACATCTCCTCACAATCCTCTTTGATGGAAACAGGTTTGGTTCTTTGAATTTGTTTGTATTCATGTTTCAAATGCTGACCGACAGCAAATTTCCCTTCATTGGATACTGCAGACCCAGATGGGACCCTTATTCTGGCCCCTAATAAATCTGGGGATTGCAGCTAATGACAAGTTGCTTCACACTCATACATAAACATAAACTGGCCTCCATCATTCATGACCAGTTGTGATTTTTGAGCCTTCACTAGATAAATCAACTTTTCTTAAAGCCCACTGTATTTGTAAAGCTGGTCTAACATCATGAGCTGGATAATTTCAGAATATTAGTTGTGTTAACAGCTGACAAATGACTACTGTTAGAAAGCAACTCATAATGGTGGTATTAACAGTGGATACTAACACAGATAAGTAGATCTGGAATATTTCTAATTGGAAGCCGAGGCACATATGAAAAGCAATGGTGAAAGAGTAATGAAACTGTGTGAAGACTGTGCAACACTGCTGTCATGAAAGTAAAAGGTTCAATCAAGCTTTTCATTTCCATAACCCATCAGAAGCAGTTCGCAACTCCTTTCATTAGAAAATAATGCAAGAAGCATGGTTTTTCAGTTTTGAAGAAAAGTCAAATTGGACTCAAAATGTTAACTTTGTTTCTTGCTCCACAGATGCTACCAGACTTGCTGAGTTTCTCCAACACTTTCTGTGATCCTAGTTGCTTAATTAGATTAGTGGGAGAGTCCAGCACAAGGGGATATAACCTTGAAATTAGAGTTAGCTCATCTGGGGTGATATAAAAAATTACTTTAGGTTAAGGGTAAGGTCATTTTACAGAACACTAATGAGTTGCCAAATAGACAATGGAAAATCTAATCCAAGGTGTTTCTGGATAGGATAAGCAAGAAGATACACCGACAGTTGTGATAGAACAATTTGTTGCATGGATTGTGTTGCCTGAAGAATGGAAAATGAAGGGGATGAGTGGAAGTCTGAAAATTATTGTTAAAATAGACTTCAGGATGTTATTTTGGATATTTCATGTTATTGTTTTTGTCTTTTTTTACAATATCACAGGACATGAATCCTGTGAACCATTGAAGAAATTGGAGGATCACCGGCATTCCCCTCTGTATTACAGCAAACACAGCTGCCACTTGAGACAGCAGCTCAACAGCTCGACAGTAACTCAACCTAGTCTCAATGGAACCCTGACAACTGTGTTTGATAACTATTACAGAACAAAATTATACGTAACATGGTTAATATATTAACTCAGCAGAAGAATACCATAGTTATTTTATGTCCTTTACGTTGGAGATAACCTCTTTCAACTGAGATCTGTTCATTTTCAGGTTTCATGGTAACACTTTGGTGAAGGTAACCTGTGTTTTTGGAAAAAAAAACTTGCATTAGCATTGTGCCTCGCATGACCCTATCTAAATGCTCTTTGAAGCCAATGAAATGTACTCCCTGTTGTAATACAGGAAATGCAACAGCTAATTTTCATACTGCTATTTGTGGGAACTTGTAAAGGGATCATAACCAATAATCTGTTCTTGTGACGTTGATTGAATGATAAATATTTTCCAGGACAGCAGGACGAACTCCTGTGGGGAGGACTCTTTTTGGAGGCTGCGGGCCCTTCAGTGGAAAGGAACTTAATTAGATGGGATGGCGGCATCCAAGCACTTCCCCATCTTCCTGCCTTTGCTTGGTCTAAACTGTAGCATTTCCACCCTACTGATAATCGAGGTCATTTATTGGCCAACTAATGATCAGTTAAGGGCCTATTCCTTCCTGGGCTAAGATTATTTCAGCCTGAGGTGGGATGAGAAAGAGTCGGTCTATCTGACAGTTTGATGATGGTATGGAAGTGGGGTGATTCCTCAAAGTGTATTAAACTGAACGATTGAGGAACTTGATCTCGGGACAGGAGGTGGCAAGAAGGAGCTACCCCGTCACATTTGCTTCTGATCCCACAACCCTCAACTCCAGAAGGTCCACCACCTACAAACACTTGCTTTTCCTACGACTATTGTATGAGCAGAGTTCTTGGTCTCCTTGTGATGTTGCTGAGTTCTGGAGCTACTGACCTCTGATTGGATCAAGGACATATTTGCCCTTGATCTGAATTCTTGTATAAGGTTTGCTGGCAACAAATCAACTGTCTGATTGCCAGAAGATCTGGCAATCTTGTCCTCACAGCCTGCAGATTTCTCTCCTCCAAACTCCTCTGGTTTTGGACTTAACCCAAAATTGATCGTTGAAACTTTGCAACGTGATAGTCTACCTAAGAAAGCAAATGGGGTCATGGTGTAATATCTTGTCCAAAAACTAGCTAAATTCAGCACTCCTTCTGTGCAGTGAAAGCTTTGTTTAATTGCAGTCAACATTGTTGCAATATGTTTGTAATTTATTTTCAGCTCTCCTCTGCAATGGAACTGTTGGAAGGTGCCATCTTTGGATTAGACCTCATAAAGTTACATTCCATTACAACCAAACTCATCAAGCGCATTGAAAAATTGGAAGAGGTAAGGCACATCTTGTGGTTAACTTTTGAGCTGGCTATCTTCTGGTACCTAGTTCAAGTGGATTCTGTTGGATAATGATAATAATAGTGATAAAATAGGATAGTGAATGCCAGAAGTGTGTTTAAGTATGAGAGGTTTTGTAGCAAGTCCAAACCCGGAGATTCTGTTTGCTAATATCACAGAACAGCCTCCAAAGGAGGGAATGTCAGAGGGAGAGTCATCGAGGCCACAGTCTCTATCTCCTAATGGTAGGTTTTAGAATTACACAGAGAAAGCCATTGAACCCAATTTGTCTGCAATCTTACTCCCACCTCATATCATAGCAACCTATTACAGTATCCTTTTAAAAAAAACTGAAAGAACTGCAGGTGCTGTAAATCA